AAGAAGTGGTTAATGCGTTAGTGATATACCTGTTAAGAGTCTGTGCCAGTGATGGAAATCTTGTGGAAGAAATGTTCATGGAGGTGCAGCATGCAAAAGCATCATCATTTTCCAAACAGTTGGGCAACTCATACTAGAAAAACCAAGTAAGAAGGGAGCTTAATTTTTAAGATGGATCTCTATGTGGATTCTCACATACAATGGGCTGCCCAGTGTGGGTATAGTCCTGAAGCAGCTGTAATGTGCTCTGCTACCTTGGAGTAAAGAGATGCAGCAGTCTACAATGTTGACTCCTTCCTGCCCCCCAAAGTAAACCCTTTGCCCGCAGTTGTGACCTCTGTAGCAGAGCTGGGCAAAGGGAATGTGTTTCATGACTCAGTTACTGAGATGTTGATCTAGGTACTGGAGCAACTGAGTGGGGGCACGCGTTCCCTTCTGCTAGCTCTACCACAGAGGCAGTAATTCCCTGCAGGAGGGTGGACATCGTAACTCTTTAAGCAGTTACTGCCTAACTTGGGTGCGGAATTTCAGAACTCGGGTGTGGGGGTGTGCCTTTACCTCTTGATACAGGGGCTTGCACAGTGGGGTCCCGCTCTGGAGCTGCAGCAGGACACCGTGGGTAGGTTGTGAGAATGGAAGTGCTCTGTTTCTGAAAATGCTCTTGCAGGAACTATGTTCTTCTAAAAGTGCTGTTGGGATATGAGGGTTTATAATGTCCAATTTGTGTGTCTGCCTGTGTGTATACAGCTTTGTAACAGCAATAGACATACCAAGCAAAGCATTCCAGCGATTGCACTTCCCGAGGCCGTGTTGCTAACCACCTGTCCCAAAGGTCGTGAGGTGAGCTGCTGTACGGGGAGAATCAGGCTGTCTGCATTTTTTTTGCTTAAGTTACACTGCAGTTACTAAAAATAATTTTTTTTTTTAAGATATGTACACTCAACATCTTTCATAATGTAGAAATACTCATTATGGAAGATCAAAATGGGGAAAAACAGCATGTTAAACAGTTGCATTTGAAACTGGATGGATGTCTCTAACAAGGCTGTTCTTAAACGTGTAATCTCAAACACTCTTCTCTGAGGAGTTCACTTTTGCCACTAAATTAAGGGTTTGATACTGACTTCAGCAGGAGTAGAGTCAGGGCCACTGGTTGAAAACAGTTGTGACATATAAAATGTCTCTATATTTGGGTGTTAGATAACAAGGCATTTCTCTGAATATGAGGTTTTTAGCATGTTCTCGGTGTGTCTTTATCTGTTCCTCAGTTGCTCTGAGTTAACTTTCTCTGTGATAGCAAAATTGTGGAACTATATGCAGGGAAGCTTCTAAAAAGCTCCTGTTTCATTTGCAGTATGCCATAAAGGTGTAGGGAACATACCATAACATATTTCACTTACTGCTTCTTCCCACCCCAAAACTTCTGAAATACCTATGCTAATTTAAGGAGGTGTTACTCCTGCCCCTCACCCCCAAGATACCACTCTGAGACACAGAATTAATACTTCTAAGATAACGTGGAATTAATTAAGGAAACTAAAATTTCAGACTCCACCACTGCTTGTTCTCCTTCTGGAAATATTTGTGGGTATGGCTGTGTGAGATGGGAGCTTCAGCTTCACTGGGTTAAGAAGACCCTATCCTTTTCTGCTGCTGGCTCTTGGTTTCCCAAATTATGCAACAGGTTGCCCTCTCAGTTACGCAAACACACATTTTCAGGACTATTCCGTGGACAAGATCAGTGAATTGATCCAGCTTAAAAACTGAAGCAAACCCTACATACTTTAGGAAAAGAGGAATGGCATCTTGAACCAGACTGAGGCCCTTGGAAGAGCTGTGCCTTCCTCCTGGGGGTGAAACTGGGAGGAGAAGCAGCTCTGTATTAAGTAGGTTAGCGGGAGAAAGAAAAGGGCAAAGAATGAACAGAAGCATGTGCATAGGATCTCACGTAACTGCTCTTGCTGGTGAAACAAGACAATACAGGGGTTCCCTATCTCAGATGACTTGGCCTGGGAGCTCTGTATACGTTTGGTTTGGTCAGATCTTCCCGAGGACAGAGCAGAGCATTAAAAAGACCCTGTTCTTCATGTTTTTAAAAACTACTGTTGTTTCAGTAGCATCTTCTATGTGACACATGTTGTCCAGCAAAGCTCAGCTGTGCCCAGCAATGACTTTGTGGAACAATGGCAGAAAAAGTTAAGGATGCATATGCAGGTTGATAGTGGATGGGAACTTTCTTCTGTTTAACTCTGCCTTCCAAGGTATTTTTGTTAATAGGAACCTTCCTCGTAATTTCGTATTGGCCTCTGTATTTTTCATGGCATTGCACAGACTTGTTTATACTACAGGAGGTAAGAGAAGGAAATTAATATTGCAGTAGCTTTTAATAGTCGTAAGTTTAGGATAGCAGAGGTGATGCTTAGTTTATGTTCAAAGGTTTTGTTTCTAGTGAGAAATGGAGAATAAGATTTTGCTAGTAGGTTTTCTTTGGTTTTGTTTTTCCTTTTAAGGATGAGGGGGACCTGATGATTCCTCCCTGTGTCCCAACCATGCAATAAATAGCAAGGGGAGAGGTTTAAGAGTTGAATGGAATCCCTGAAATAAATCCTGAGACTAGAGAGAGCGTATTTCGAATTCTTGGATAAAAGGAAAACTGAAACTCAAACTTTGATAGTTTTAAATTTCACAGTGTCCTTTGTCTCACGTATCTCATTAGGTTGCAGCCAGGCTTTGGGATTTTTTTTTTTATTCATTTGTCTACACGCCTAAGCAGTGAACAACTGTAACTGTACCTGAGAGAAGCTTTATGAGTGCGCAGAGGCTAAAATCTCACTCTCTGGGGAATCATAAGCTTTTGTATGTACAAATGGGCGGGCAAGATCTCTTCTGTCTTACTAAGGGGTGGTGATTCCATGGACTCAGTGCTCCCTGTATACTGCAGTAATGTGAAAATTCATTACTTTCAGTGGTGTTCTCTGCCTCTTTGATGCATCAAACCCACACCTGCTTACAGCAGGAAATTGAAATGCCTGAGCTTTTCCCTTTTGGCTAATCCCACACATCTATCTGTAACACCACAAGGACTTCTCTTTGGCATTCAAAAAATAAAGTGAAAACTGTTCTAAGTAAACCTGGAGAATTTTTGAGCTTGGGAATTTCTGCCTCCACAAGCTAAATCACTTGGCACAGCTCTGAACTTTTATTTTTGGTAAAACCTTCACAGCCAGACTATTGTAATGTTCAGAGAAAGAGATGTTCCTGAAGGCCTGAATTGAAACCAGAATGTGAGGGCTTATTTTTATACTGTAGAGAATGTATTTTCATGTGTGTTTGTGTATATATGTATAAAAATATATATATGGAGAGATGAGAAGATGATTTAATTTAAGTAGCATTACTCTGGATGTGTGTAGGTAACACTGATCAGAATCATCTGGAACATTCAGAAGACTTTTCAACTTACAGACTTGTAATTCATTAAGGAGCTGATGAAAGATGTGCAGCACAATTTGTTTATGGATGGTAGAGCCCTGAGATGTAAACAGTTCCTGTGTATGATCAGGATTACTCTGCTGTTTGAATTGTAAACTATTTCAAATTATTTTAGCAAGTTTTGCATCTGAAGCTATTTGCATCACTCTCTTTTGATGATACAATTCTCAGGCAAATTCAGTGTTACGGGAATAAAGGCCCTTTTGGCTTCCGGGCATGACAGCATGTGGGCCTTAGCTGGTTGGTTTTGTGATGCATTTAACAAAGACATAAACCAGTGTTTATGCCAGAATGTTATGCAGAGATGAGAGCTTTCCAAATTTGAATGAGATGGAGTTTATACAGGCTACCGAAATTCCAAGTAACTGTGGAGAAAGGTTTGATAAGGAAACCAGTATATAAGGCTATATATTGTACTTCACACGGTACTGTGTTACAATAATGCAAACCAAGTTTTGTTCTGAATGGACAAAATGACTTATTTGTAAAGCAGATTATGCAGGTGGCTGGATTTCTGTATCAACATTTTCCTGAATCCTTGCTAATCACTGGTAAACCAGAGCCTAATTCTTTAAATTGAAATGGCGGCTAGAAGCTCTTCGTGGCACCACTGTGTCATATTGGCATAAATTCTGTAGAGCAACTGCTCTGGTTCTGCATCAGGTCGTGCTGATGTTCTCCCAAGTACATCGTTTATTCCCAGTCACCTTGCTGACTTCTGTTAGTGTTTGGTCCTTCTTAAACCTTCTTCCTAATGGTAGCAATGGTGACCAGAATAATTCTCCTATTGTTCATATACATTAAATTAGAAGGAATGTATTACCATTTAAACTTAATACAGCAGATGCTTTATGTTACTGGCCTCAATTACATTGGTTATCATCTCATCTATAAAACCAGCAATATGTTTTGGGAGACCATTGTTACCCAGCTGGGCTGTCTTGGTGATCTCTCTGCCATTTTAAGTCTCTGATGAAGATCTCTTTATAGATCATTTTTTATGATACTTTAATGAGGGAACAGTTATAAATACTCTTTTCCTGGGTTGTAAAAGATTTCAACTTAAATGCCAGATGCTGTGAAAGTAGAGTGACTTTGTAAATTGTAGATTTTTACTTATAAAGTACGTGTTGATGCTGCTTACTATTGTAAAATCTAACTCTCGCTGCTTTCATGGCAACTGGCCATGAGATGTCCCCTTGAACTCCTGGATTGCCCACGGACTTTCTTAATTTTTTTAAGAGTAACTAATGATATTAAGAGTTGCCTTTAATGAAAAGGGAATGGTTATTTCTGGTAACTTCAAAAGCTGTATGTTTTCATTACTTCCCCTAAATGCTGCTTGGCTTGTGTGTTATCATGCCTTAGTTGTTTTCTGTTGAGTTGGTAATATTTTGAAATTAGCTGGTGTGCTGCAAAATAAATTCCTTACCGCCTACTTGCTTTTTCCTTTTTTTGCTACTAGATCTTATAAAGACAGTCGTATCTCGATATTTGAGAAGTTGTCTTCATATCATATGTGAGTTACGTGATTCTTGAACGCTCATGAAAGAGGTGATTGGACTTCATGGGTGAGATATTTCCCTCTGGGTGTTCTCACTTGTTGCTCATTTGGGTAAAGAAAGTGAGCAGGTGAAAGCCCCTCCTAAAGCAGCAGTTTACTACCCTGTTCCTGACCGGTGTGAGATTGTAACCTCCTTGCCTTACTGGGGCATCAGAATGGCAATACTTAATACGTTCCCAAAACTTAAGAATCCAAAACATGCATAATGCCTTGGTTTACATGTGCGCTGAAACCTACATTGCCATGATAAGGGCTTCAAAAGCGCTTTGCATAGTTTATATGCTCTTACAGATGAACCCTATGGCTGGTTTACAAATAGGAAGGCAAACAAAGTTCTGCCTTCCTCCCCAGGAAGGGAGGCAGCGAGCTTGGACGATGGGAGTGGATGCCAGCTAACACTGGTGGTTGGGTGAAGTTAAGCACGTGGTTTTCTGGATGAAATTTCAATGAATCGGTTATGTGGAAAGCCTGTCCTTGCCTTCTGGCACTGGCAGGCAAGTTAGTAGATATTAATAAAATACATGGAAACTTTCTTAAGTCTGTTCGTTATGGCATTAATTCACTTCTGCAGGATGATTGTGTCCTAGCAATAAGAAGTGTTGGAACCTGATGCTGCAGCTCCTGTCTTCCCACACACACACACGCTTTTTTTTTTCTCCTCGCCCTGCCCCCGTGCTTTTTAATAAGCTTATTGTACTTTCTGGTTCTTCATTCTCCTCTTTGCCCAAAAGGAATGGAGTATGGTATATTTACAAGAGTTTTAAAAAATTGTATTTCTCACATTAGCATTTGTAAACATGCATAAATGTATGTAAATGTGTGCTAGACGAGGAACATTTTGCATTTGTCCTTAGCTATTTCACCTCATCTGGGTCATTCTTTCTCTTTCTACCATGACGTGTTGTTTTATTACCTGAGGTTAGAATGCATCTTGGTCACGGCGACACATTTATCTTGTATTTTATGATGTGATCTTATCACATCCCATTTCTTTTCTCTCTTCCTATTTAGCTTTTCATCTGTCAGTGACAGTCATGACACCAGCTAGTGGCATAGTAACACCAGGGCTGTGTAGTAGTGCATACTGTTGGCAATTTTTAAGGGTAATACTTTGCTTCTAAGGTACAATATTCTTTTACAAGAATGTTGTTCAGTTCCAGTGTTGAAAAGGTTATGGCCCTCTTTAATATGTTGGATTTAAAAATGTATTCTTTCCTACCATTTCTTCAAGGGCCAAATCTTCAAAGAGAAAACTGCTGCTCTATAGGCAACCAAAAGTGACGGACAGACTTTCAAACCTTTCAAGTATACACCAACTCCAAGTGTGGTTAGAGATCAATTAGAGTGCTGCGTCAATCCACTGAACAATTTTGAAAATCTGGCTGCTGGTTTTGGTGTGTACATAGGAACTGAAACATCTGCCTGCAGGTTGCTTTGAATCTAGTGTGACACACTGCTAATCCAGTAAGTTTTTCTGCCTCTTGGTTTTTGAGACTCCAGTCAAAATCATCTTTCTGTTTCAGTTACATGGGATCAGTTTCTTTTTCGTCCTTTCACAAAGCTGACACTTTAAAATTTCAGCTTAACGGTGCCAACACAAACTTTTCAATACTCAAATAAAATGTAATTTTCTTCCTTTGCTGCCTCTACCAAGAGGCATAGCAAATACTGTGTAACACCCATCCCAAGCTTGGCTGGATTCCAGAGACTTTCCAGAAAAAGAGACACTAGTAAAATCAGCATCTGCCATTTACATCAAGATAGTAAAGGAAGAGTCGTGTCCACATCAAGATAGTAAAGGAAGAGTCGTGTCCACAGCAGCTGAAGTGCTGTGTATGCTTGTATACATACACTGCAAATGTGTGGGTGTGTTCCATGAATTGTTGCTCTTTGAATTTTCTTGTGTTCAGAGAAACTTGGCCGAGGTACATTATATGGATACTGTTTTGGCAACTGGAGTCACAAAAATATTTACGAAGACTGTTGGGTTCTTCCCCCATGCTCTTATCCCTCCTTCCTGTATTTAAAATTCCCTTAAGTGTTTTGTTTTATTCTTCTAAAAAAATCCACGGTTTTCTTTTAAAGGGACGGGGAGAATTAGCTTTCTCCTGGGTGCAAATTATAGATAAATGCTTTTTAAAGATGCCTTTAAAATTTAAGGTAATGATGGAAACACACCACTTAAACTATGTTGTTTTTTTAATGTTTCCTGTGGATTACAAAGACTATATTTTTGGGTGGTTAACAAATTGAGAAAAGGTACTTTTCCTCCCTCTTAAAATTCAACTCTGTGTTCTTCTGAGGAAAAATGTCAAGATGGCTTTGTGTGGCACTTCACGCAGTGTAGCTCAAGTAGAAATACTGTTTTGTGGTTCTGCTGTATTGTGTTTCCCATAACGGTGGTGGGAATGCAGCGTGAATGCCCACAGGATCGTGTGGGCTCCTGATTTCATCCAGAACGGATGCAGATGTCAGCTTTGCTGTGAAGCATGGTTTGGATCGGACTGCACACGTGGTTAGTGCGTGGGAGGTCATGTGAGGTGATGAAGGCCGACTTCTCCATTGGACAAAATAAACTAAATATTGGTAACTGTTGAGGACACATTTCTCAAAATTGTTGCACAGTTTCACTAGTTGAGCAGTGAACTTCAGTCTGTTGGTACAATGCCACTTTTCATTTTTTTTTACTGGTCCCTGAAATGCTAGATTTGGTTCTGGTAGCACTCAGCAATTTGGAGCTGGCTTTCTGGTAGAACTCATGTCTCGTTAATTCTGGTAGAAGTACTGTCACAGTCTGGAGTTTGGGCTTCAGGCAGGTACAGGTCTCTTTAAAATGTCTTTGGATTTAGTTGAGAATTGAAGAAAGGGGAAGACTGTCATGAGCTGATGAATTGCATTGGAAATGAAAGAGTTAAGAGTGGAAATCTGATTGCACAGCTGAAATCTCAATTTGAACTTGTGGTCCCTTGAGAGAAAATGCCATTCAGCACCGTTGCACAGAGTTATTTCATTCTTAATTTTAATTGACATGTCCCAGACTGCAACCTTCTCTTACGAATCCTTACAGTACAGAGATGTTTGTGAGTCAGTGTGTTTCTGTGTGGGCGATTTTCTGTGTTTTAAATTCAGGTCATCATTAATTTCTCTTTTGATACTAGCATCCTTTCTGCCTACCTTATTCTCTCATAGGCTTATGAAATTTGAATGAATCTTTCCCTAAGTAAGATGTTGGTCACCTCCTGGGATTTCAGCTTAATGACCTGACCCTGCTCCTTTTTTTCCTCTCTTTCTCTCCCCTGCCCCAGGGATGCCTGTTGAACAGGTAGAAGTGATGCTTTCATGGAAGTGTTAGCCCCTTGCCATGGTGACAGGGGTATCCTGCGCAACTTCAGTAACCAAAAAGTAATTCTTTTATCATGGTGATAAAAATGGCATCAATGTTTCAACTTTATTGGGGGGGAGATAAAACCTCAAGCAAAAACTTGTTCTGGTGTAACGTCAATTTTTTTCTTCCTTTTCTGGGTTTAATTAAAATCAGTTATTTATAAACCCAGCAATAGCGGCAGAACTGTGCAGCGCCATCCTGTAGTAGTTGTGAGGAGTACAGATACCTGCTGAAAATATTTTTTAATATTTTATATCTCTAGTATTGATTGCATTTTCCAAATAAACTGTATGATTGTCCAGTATTGGGATTATCCCAGAACTTAATTAACTTTCTTATAGCTTTTGTCTCTGTTTTGTATCTGATGGGCATCAGTTTAAACAACTGCAAACGGCAGAGAGCCTAACTGCATACAATAGTCACAAATACAGTGGAAAAGTTGTGCGTCAGAATATCAACTTGTGTTTTCATTTTTTTCATCTGTAGATGAGCAGGTGAGGACAACTGCAGGCAAATCTGGAACTTTGAAAGTTTCATTGCAGTGTAGACTTTGACTACTACTCCAGCCTATAACGGATAGGGTTAGAGTTACAGGTCTAAATGCCTTGAAAATATGAATTTCCAGAGTAGAATTTGTTTCTAGTTATATTTTTATATTTTCTGTTATTTATCTTCTTTGTCTTCGCGGCTGTTTTAGCTGGTACAGTATTTTGCTAGCATACAGGGTGTAGTTGCTATGATTTTGGAGAACAGAGTCTTTATTCACTCTTGGATTTTTGCATAGCATCAACTCCATCACAGAAACCATGTAGTGTTTGGATGGTGATGATGGTGATCAGACTTACTGCATCTGTACGAGAATGTTTCAGTTTACAAAGGCTCATTCTCAGTCTTAAAGACAATAATTGAAGTCCTCTCAGGGCTTTGGCTTTTTTAGATAATACCCACTGTTCACCTTTTCCAGAAAAACTGATGAGTCAGTGGTAACGTAGGTAGACTAAGTAGGAAAAAGGGCATGATATGGTGCATTCTTAATTGTTTATTTTTTTCCCTCTGAGCATAAATAGGATGTGCTGTGTTTTAACATAGGAAGTAAGTGGTTTTGTATTGTTGTTACTACTTCATCAAAGTTGAAGTAAGCTGTCGTGTGTGAGTTACCCTTCCTAGTAGGCCTGAGCGTTGCTCCTCGTGTAGAGTTCCTTGCTTACCACAAAAAAACCAGTAGCCTGTTTTATGGCTGTTTTCTGATAAGATTTGAATGCCCCTGGATAAAAGGAGACAAAGCTCCCTGGTTTTATCTTTGCAGCTGGCAGGTCAGCCGTAATGTAGAAACAGTGCAGTTCAGTACAGTGTTCCAAGTGATGGCTGGACCTGAGAGCATGGTTCATGACCACTTTTCCTGCTTCCTACTTATGAAATGCCTGTCCCCAGGCTGACAATTTCATAAACTCATAGCTGGAGCCTATAGTCTCCATCACATCTTTCCATTAATCTTGATCTGTCACATACCTATACCTGGAATATTTCCTGGATGCAAGCTTTCCACTGCTGTCTGGTTGGTAAGCAAGTGAATTTTACTTCTGGTGTGCTGTATGAAGTCCTGTA